CCACTCAAGGGATATAGAAACCAGGAACTGGGGCTGCAAGAACAAAAGACAAAACCCAGATAATGAAGTCCTACCCTAGGGAGAGAACTGCCTGACATTGCACAGCAGCCCTTTTCAGTGCAGGATTACCAATCCTATGAAGGCTGATTCAGGCTCAGTGGTTCTGAAAAGAATCCCATATTTTGCTGTCGTCTCTCGAGTCTGTCATAACAGGTTAAAAACAAAAATAAACAGCAGAAATCCTGCTAAGAAAACCCCAGTCTTTGAAGAACTGACAAAAATAGATTTATCTTCTGGGATCTATTGTAGTCTACAGATTCAAGAAACAGATATGGAAAAAGACAGGCTGTCATTATTTGAAAATTCATTAATTTTATATATATCTGTATTTTATAAACAGTCCAGATGTTGGTATCTATGATGAAGGTTTTAATATATGTGGTTTTGACAGATGGGCTTTTCTTACATGTAGAACGTACATTTTCTTAAGATTTCGTTATCTGTGATTGGCTGACTGGAATGGAGTCAGCCTTCTGTGAATAGACAGCCATTTACATACATTTTCACTCATATTATCTGTCATATTTCAAAATACATTAACGAATTCTGTTTAAGTAATACACACTCATACACATGCTAGTTCCTGCAATTTTCTTGTCAAGAGTTTTCAAGTGGTTTTCAATTGCCTTCTTCTTAAGTCGAGAGAAAGTGATTGGCCAAGTCACCCAGTTTCCCTTGTGCCTAAAGCAGGACTAAAACTCGTGGTCTCCTGGTTTCTAGTTTGGTGCCTTAATCCCTTGCAGGACAAATTGAAATACTGAAAAGAGCAATGTATTTTCTATTGGTTCTACTTTGCCGCTGTTACATTGCTTTATGCTTTATAGTTTTGTGTATGTGTATCTACAAATAAATATACCATTGTCTGATGACATTGTCTACTGTTTTTAGTGTTCCAGGTACAATGTATCCTTTTATTTATTTCCATGTTGATGTTTCCCTTTTATTACATATACTAGTTGATCCAAAAGGTGCGTCAAAATGATGAATTTGGCTTAATGTGTAAAATATAAACATTGAAAATAATAAAAGTTTTAAAATAAAATACATGTAAATCGAAAAGAATTTAATAAGTTACTTGCAGTGTTATTGCAGGCAACATCTACACAGTTTTTGTTCCAAATCCACAAAAACACACAAAATTTATACAAATCAGCAGAGTAAAAATTAATGCCTTAAAGACTTTGTTGGCAGAATTAATTTGTAGATTCTAGAATGGGTTTTCCTTCTATTTTTCTTCTTTTCTTACAAAAGATTTTACAAGTGAAATATTACTACAAAATTTTTATAAGAGGTTTTCTTTTGCAAAACATTTACAATTTGACCATCAACTATTTCTGTTTCAAGATAATTATGTAGATTTAACACCTTATGCTGCACATCAATTTTTGAGGGATGACAATTGTGACATGCATTAACAAAAATCACAAGGTTTCAAAAATGGAGACTTAAATACAAATTTTGCTGCAATAAACATTTATAAAATTGAAAAACAGGATTCAAACATCATGCTTACCGAACAAAAACTTTTTCTTCTAATTTACGTATTTTATTACTTTTCTCATGAAACGTGATAAATAATGAAGTAACACCGATTTATAATGTAATCAGAAAATACGTGCACAACCCTATCCCAATAAAGCATATTAAAAAGAAAAAAAAACTATTCCAACAATGGAATTCTATCATGATAAATATACTTTGCACTTGTAAACACAATAAAGCAAAATTTCATAATGGTGGCCAAGGGATGTACAGTGAAATGTCATTAAACAAGCTACTACTGCACATCTGTGCCCTATCACATACAACAGTTACATCTCACTGAGTCAAATAAAGGACATTGAAATTTACGATTCTTCTAAGAGTGAAAAGTGGACTCAGAACGGTATGCAGAACAGACTATCAAAATGTTTTTAATTCCAGGAGTAATAAGTGCACCTGCTAAAACAAATTTATCTATATTAGATTTTGTGACACCAAACAAATTTTGATATACTTGCCACAGATTACAATAATTTTCAGTTTGTATCTGCATACTTAAATATGCAAAAGGAATATTTAACAATTGTGCAGAGTACTCAATCTTTTAATTTATAAAGTTTTTTTAAAGATCTATTAACATGATTCTATTAGGAAATGTCATTTGCTTAACTATTTTTAGCACTGATTGTAAAGTATAATGTTAAATATTCATTTGATGTTGAAATTCATCTATAGCAGACATTAATTAGTATTATCTAATGGCCATCTATATTAAATATATTGTCAATTTGATGTTTTAAAGCCAGATATATCAGTTGAGAATACTTTAAATAAGATATACAAAATGATAGAAAAAAATCCCAACTAATATTTAAAGTGTGTTCAATCTTTACAAAAAGGTATAAGAAATTTAAAATTTATCACCATGGTGTAAAATTGTTTCTTTGTTATATATGCGAGCTCAAAGTATGAAAGACTTTCAGCTTTATATGTCATTACACAGGGCATTCCTAAAGTGTACATAGTACAAACAACTATCAGTAGATCTTTGTCTTTAAAAAACACATGCAATGTCACAAAACTGGAACTTGTATATGTTTATAAAAGTTGTTTGTTTGAAGTTTCAAGCAGCTCCCAACACAAAGTATATTGGTAAAGGAAAAGTTTTAATTTCCTGCATTGTATTTTTAAGTTATATCACCCAAATATTTTATTGTAAAAATGTAAAAAATGTTCTTGAGAAATTTTCAACAGGGTAGATTGCAAAACATAATTTTATGTCAAAATTGTTTAAAAACCCAAAGTATTTTTAGCATATTATTTTTTTCTGCATTCAGATTGTCACAATGCAGCAAAAGATAGTTGCACAGGAAAAAAAATTCACAATGCAATTAAGATAGATGGAGATTCCTGTCCATAAACCAATATGCTCATCTAGATGCTAACTATCGATATATAGACAAAATGTGTATTCCTTCCCAAGGAACCAAATTGAATGAATAGCAATCAGTAAAAAGAACTGGATCTGTAACAATTTTCATTTGGTTTTACCATTTTTCAGTGAACTGTTATTAAAGAAACCCACATTAGAGACACATCACTTCCATACATGTTCAGAATATATTTTGTTTCTGAAAAATGAAAATAATTATTTTTTCACTATTCACTGGTTTGTTTAGTTTCTATGATATAGAAAGGGAAACATGTAAAAATTTGCTAGACTCCAAAAAATGTTTGCAAAATACTCTGTGCATCCAAACTGTTAAATCAATAGAAGAGAATACATATAACTCAGCATTGGAATTGCGGAGTCCTTGGTACTCTCTTGATTGTCTGCTTAAGCAGACATTTCTCTATCAGACTAGGTAAATCTCAGTGGTGGGAGTGAGTGAGTTGTGCAGCAACTTGCCCTGTTAAAATAGATGGGGATGACATTTTTTTCTTGGTAGTTCTTTGACTACACTGTTATTTACTACTTGATTGTCTGGTATTAATCCCTGTTTTCCTAGGTATTGATTGTTGGAGAAGAGATGTTTTGATTTTTTTGTTTTCTTTTTAGTTTTTTTATTCTTTTTTGAATGATAAGTAAATGTTGTTTATCTTTATGCATCTAAACATCCTACCTGTTTATCTTATGTACCTACTTTACTTCCAGGAATTCCCTAGCATTTTTTTGGCCTAGAATAGTGAGAGTTTCTCATTGAAACCATGATTAAATCTCTCCATGTATTATGAAATGAAGCAATTTTCATCTTGTCTTCTAACTAACTATCATTAATTGCATTCTGCTAGCCTTCTGTCTTACATAATGGTTATTGTAGACCTTAATTGGGAGTACCAACTCAGACAAACAATCAAGCAGTATACGAAAGGCTAATCAAGGGACTACCGACGAGAAAACCACAACTCAACCATACTAAGAGGGCAAGTTACAGTATATAAACAGAGATCAAAACCACTCCTTCTATCATTGAGGATGTTACCTAGTATATTAGCAAATAACTAAGCACCGAGGGCACCACAATTTGTTAAGTGGCACAAGATTTTTTTCAAAGGAAAGAAAAGGTTGAAATCTTCTTACTTGCTGGAAACTCTTGAGCAAACCAAAATTAGCTCTTTGGATCCCAGCCAATATTTTTCATAAGGAGTAAAGATAACAGATCATTACTTCAGAGTCATACTTTTGGTTGCTCATTTTTTCTTTGGTTAGTTTGATTAATTCTAAATTTTTCAGTATATTTATCATAATGTTTGCTATTGAAAAAAATGTTATAAATGGTGCATAAATGCTACATTCTTATAACATTCTACTTCCCATTATCAACAAGTGTTGAATAAAATTTAAATATTTAAATTACTGGCTTCAAAACAGAGATTAAGCATTTTTTAAGAATAGATCCTGTGTTATGAAATGGGATGAATTAAGATACGAGATTTTTAACACATATTATCAAATTTAATTTTTACATAGAAATTAATTAAAGTTTTATGTCAATATATTTCTAAAATTCAGTATTTACTACAGAATAAACTGGCTCTGTAGATCTCTTATCTCTCCTAGAAAGAGGATAATCTGTGTTTACTGATTGTCATTATATACACTACTATAATGTAGTGGCCAAAATTATCTGAGATGTACCCCAGATCCATTTTATATGCTGCCATCTGATTTTTAACAAATGAATAAAGATGGCCCAAAGAAGAAAGTTTTCATCTTCACTAGAGTACTTCACATTTTTGTGTCTTTTGGACAAAGTAAATTCCCATGAAAATACTATATATTTTTTTTAAGGAAAACGTTAATCAGCAGCAATTCTGTTGCATATTTTTATAGTTTGTTGTTACAACAAACATTTACATCTGATAAATCCAATTAAAAATTGTTTATGTGATACAGAGCTACAGAAATCAGTGCTGTGTGAGAATAATATTTTCCTAATCTGTTTTATCCATAATTTATCTCTATGAATTGATTCTGTTTTTCTTAATGTTGTCTTATTCTACAAAGTACACTTTTTATGCTAATTTTCCAGCTTGGAATACTTATAGTAATCAAGACTGAATACATGATATTCTGCTCTGTTATACACTTTTACTAGCCCACTTCTGTATCTTGAAAAGTATGTAAACCTAAGTGCAGTTCTAGGCATCTATGTAATATTATTTCAGAATTCCTCCATGTTTGCTGAAACATTTGGAGTTGCTGGATTTGAATCTTGAGAAATGGCTGCTACTGCAACAATCCTTGGAGATCCAAGAACCTCAGTAACTGAAGGGTCCAATTCACCTGAGGTAACAATAGCAAGGGCTGTTCCTCCACCCTTCTTGTTCTGATGTGTTTTGACATGCTTGGAGAGATGATCACTTCGCATAAATCTTTTAGAACACTCTGGACATTCAAATCTTTTCTCCCCTGTCAAGAAATGTTCAAATTAACATCATGGGCAATCATCTATGCATAATGTAGTTCAGTGCCATGACTAACAATTTTTCCTGTAAGTATACCTTCAATGTAACAATCTGATGGGAGAAAGAAGTATCTGTTAAAACCAAGTGCTGCTTAAAGAGCCAATTAGAGCTTTTGATGGGAGGAAAGGAAAATGCTGGAGAAAACAGAAAACATGTGGGCTGCCGGGATATGATTGCTGGCAATGATGGGGATAAAGGATTAGTAGGTGTTGTCTGTTGCAAAGATTTTCAGTTTAGATGATAAAGTCTGCCAAATAGTTTTATTAAATTGAAGGTTTACTGTATTGAGACATATATTCAAAAGATTCTCAATGGAAAATATTTGTATTGATATTTAAAGTGAAATACACAAAAATTTAAGTAATTGAAATACTTGTATACATGTATATGCATACATTTAACAGAAGAATTTGCTAGATCTTTTTAGGTCCTTTCTTCCTTTTCTTTACAGTTATGACCAATTCAAAACATCCTAAGTAACTCTATATTTATGTATTTCTAAAGTGTTTGTCATATACAACAATGAACCCAAGTAACCATAAATTAAGAACATCCTCTATATCAACACCAAAACATAAAATGTCTTCTACATGCACTTAACTGAAATGCTTTTGGAGTGAAAGCATTTTAAAATATAGGCCCCACAACTAATACAACAAAAAGATTATTCCTGATTGTTGTACAGTTTACATCTTTAGGAAATACAGAGATCTTATAGTGTAATCATGAAAGCCTCTAACAATAATTGCAATAGTTGAGTAGATGTATAAGAAGAAGACAATTCAAGCGGATCCTGGCTCCAGCTCATTTAAACACTTCTAGGTTAATATTTCAAATCTGAATCAAGCCTATTAATAATCAGTAGCCAGTGCAATGTACAATGTACAGTGAGGGAAAAAAATATTCGATCCCTTGTTGATTTTGTATGTTTGCCCACTGATAAAGAAATGATCAGTCTATAATTTTAATGGTAGGTTTATTTTAATAGTAAAAGACAGAATAACAATAAAAAATCCAGAAAAACACATTTCAAAAAAGTTATACATTGATTTGCATTTAATGAGTGAAAAAGTATTTGATCCCCTATCAATCAGATTTCTCGCTCCCAGGTGTCTTTTATACAGGTAATGAACTGAGATTAGGAGCAGTCTCTTAAAGGGAGTGCTCCTAATCTCAGCTTGTTACCTGTATAAAAGACACCTGTCCATAGAAGCAATCAATCAGATTCCACACTCTCCGCCATGGCCAAGGCCAAAGAGCTACCCAAGGATGTCAGGGACAAGATTGTAGACCTACACAAGGCTGGAATGGGCTATAAGACTATCGCCAAGCAGCTTGATGAGAAGGTGACAACAACTGGTGCGATTATTCACAAATGGAAGAAACAGAAAATAACTGTCAATCTCTGTCGGTCTGGGGCTCCATGCAACATCTCACCTCATGGAGTTTCAATGATCATGAGAACAGTGAGGAATCAGCCCAGAACTACACGGGAGGATCTTGTCAATGATCTCAAGGCAGCTGGGACCATAATTGCCAAGAAAACAATTGATAACACACTACGCTGTGAAGGACTGAAATCCTGCAGCGCCTGCAAGGTCCCCCTGCTCAAGAAAGCATGTTACAGGCCTGTCTGAAGTTTGCCAATGAATATCTGAATGATTCAGAGGAGATCTGGGTGATAGTACTGTTCTCAGATGAGACCAAAATTGAGCTCTTTGGCATCAACTAAACTCACTGTGTTTGGAGGAGGAGGAATGCTGCCTATGACCCAAGAACACCATCCCCATCATCAAACATGGAGGTGGAAACATTATGTTTTGGGAATAGTTTTCTGCTAAGGGGACAGGACAACTTCATCGCATCAAAGGGATGATGGACTGGGCCATGTACTGTCAAATCTTGGGTGAGAACCTCCTTCCCTCAGTCAGGGCATTGAAAATGGGTTGTTGATGGGTATTCCAGCATAATGACCCAAAATACACAGCCAAGGCAACAAAGGAGTGGCTCAAGAAGAAGCACATTAAGGTCCTGGAGTGGCCTAGTCTCCAGACCTTAATCCCATAGAAAATCTGTGGAGGGAGCTGAAGGTTCGAACTGCCAAATGTCAGCCTTGAAACCTTAATAATTTGGAGAGGATCTGCAAAGAGGAGTGGGACAAATCCCTCCTGAGATGTGTGCAAACCTGGTGGCCAACTACAAGAAATGTCTGACCTCTGTGATTGACAACAAGGGTTTTGCCACCAAGTACTAAGTCATACTTTGCGAAGGGATCAAATACTTCATTAAAATACAAATCAATTTATAACTGTTTTGGAATGTGTTTTTCTGTAGTTTTTTGCTGTTATTTTATTTCTCATTGTTAAAATAAACCTACCATTAAAATTATAGACTGATCATTTCTTTGTCAGTTGGCAAACGTGCAAAATCAGCAAGGGATCAAATAATTTTTTTCCTCACTGTAGCTATATCTGCTGCATAGTAATCTTTTTGTTGCATTGTTCACTAACAATAGCATCTATGCAAGTGCACAAGGATATCACTCAATGAGTAATTATAGTTACACAGAAATGAGACTATTAATAGCAAGTACTTAGACTTATGTACCACTCCATAGTGCTTTATAGTACTCTCTAAGCGGTTTACAAATTTCAGCATATTGCTCCCACAATCTGGGTTCTCATTTTACTGACCTTGGAAGGATGGAAGGCTGAGTCAACCTTGAGCCGGTCAGGATCAAACTCCAGGCTGTGGGCAGAATTAGCCTGCAATACTGCATTCTAACAAATGTATCACCACAGCTCCTAACATTGTTAAAAGTCATAAAATATACTGTTTGCCCTCAGAGCAACTTGGGCCTCCAGTAAAATGTTTATTCTATGAGCATCCGTTCCATTCCTGTATGTCTAGAAAATTCAATATCCAGAACAGGAAATTATCTCTATCCTTTATCTAGAACTGCCAGGCACAGAAATTCTCTGTTACCGGCATCTATTTATGCTAATTAGATTTTACTGAGCTTGTCGCTATGTTCTGATTCAGATAAGTCTTACAAACTAAGCAGTATTTCAGGAGGATTCTGATGATGTTATTCTTCAAATTGCCTAAGAAATAATCTGAGGAGCATCAGAAATAAGATGGTGATTTTCAATGCAATACAACTACCAGAAGCCAAAAACTTTACTCTGTGACCAACAATCAAATAGGAGTTCGGCTTCCAGATTGGTTTATGCTCAAAATTGGAGAAATAAGGGAATTTCAACGGAAGAAGAAATCCTGTATAAAATTTTATCATGTGCAGAGATGGACAGGCTTACAATGGCTATGAAAGATAAGACAGAACTGGAATATTTCGAAATCTGGGACAAATTTTATCGCTGGTATGAATCAAGGAGAACTGCTCGGATCTTAAGCTAACGATAGGATTGAAAGTATGTATATTAACATGTATATTAACATATATATTAACATAATACATCTTCTTACTCCAAATGTATCTCCAATTCCTACTACATAATTCAAAAACATAGTGCTCTTTGTTTAACAATCCTTATAAATGAGACCTTACGGTGCATACAGGTAAAAACAAATAATTGTATTATAAATAAAAAACTTTTATTAAAAAAAAAATAGGACTGAAACTATTTTTTTTCTCACTCACAAGGATGATCAGTCAATAGCACTAAAAGTAGTTATAATTATTGTTAAAGGTTACCAAGAAATCAGGCAATTATAATATTTCTATTCCTTAGGACAGGATACTCATCATAGCCAATTCAATCCCAAAATAAGATCTTGAGTCTAACTGAAGTGTGTTCTAAAATACTGGTTTTCTACAAGATTATTTCAGCTAGTCCACCACCATTTTTTGAGCATCCTCTCAAACAGAAATGCAATGATTAAGCAATCATGATTCAGTGTGACTTTTTAAATGGTTAAGATATGTATTCTTTCAGTTAGCTTCCAATTTACAGTACATCTTGTACATCTAGTCAAAGAGTACTCTTCATACAATTTCAAATGAGCTTTCATTTCCAATAATCTAAAAAATTAAGCTCAATAAGGACACTGAAGTATTAATCAGTAAGTTCTGACTGAAGGAAACATATTCAAATGTTATATAAGTTTAAATGCCAGAACATTAAAATGTAAACAAATTTTATTTTTTAAATATTTATCTAAACTCTTCACTCACCTGTATGGGTTCGTCTATGTCTCTGCAATTCATCACTTCTTGTAAATCTTTTCCCACAGAAGATCCAATTGCACACAAATGGCCTTTCCCCTGTATGCCAGCGAAGATGTGCCCGGAGATGAGATGTTTTCCCATATACTTTACCACAGCCTTCAATATGGCAGATATGTTGTTTCTTTTTTCCTGGTTCATTGCTGCTTCTATCAAATACAAATCACTATTAGTTAAAGTCAGAAACCATTTCAAATAAGGGCTAAGTTAATAAAAATAATGTCATTAAAGATGTAACAGAAATATGTAAGCTGAATAAAAGCTTTGATCCTGAGAAATTTGATATTTAATACTAATTATGGCAAATACCTTCCATCCCCTTCTCTACAATTAGGGCATGAACAAGCAACTCTTCTTAATCTTTTGCCAGGCTGCACTTCTTGATCAGATGCTTGCTGAGCTTGTTGCAGCTGCACTTGAGTTATTTGATCAGGACTAACAGCACCCATTGCTGCATTAGCTATACCTCCAACAGCTACAGTTACAGGAGCTATTGTTGCTTGCTGTACTTTCACTCCTCCATCTTGTCCTTGTTGTTGACCTAGAAAGTAAGAAAAAATCTTAAATTTCTTAATTAATATGGTGAGATCATAACATATTCTTGTATCTTGTTTACTACATAAAAATCAGTTCTACAGGTATATAAAAGCAAGCCATATAAATACTTCTTGTATGCATATTTCAAACAGAGGAAAGGTATTCCAATTTTATTAAACCCAACATTTTTAAATTAAATATGATATTATTAATACACAAACATAATCTCTGCTAACTATAAATATTCAGTAATTATGCAATGACAGAATTACTGAATTCCTCATTTGAGATGGTACATTGGTATCATGGCTGCAGTAATTTCCACACTGCAAAATAAAACCATTGCAAAAATGTCTGTGGAGATTCTCAACCATCCTGGTCATAGTTGTCTCAAAGGTCCTTTTTTCCAAAAGGCAACTGGACTGTTTTTTCCTTAGGAAGAAGAAGGAAGTATTTTGTGTATCATTCCCTCCCCACCATACCAAATGATGAAGCTTCTTGAATGAAAAGCTAAAAGATTCTGAAATCAATGCTCAGTTTCAAAGAAATGCATAAAACAGCTCAAAGGAGTTGTAGACCCAATAAAATACTAAGAGACAATAGGAAGAATAACACTTTGAACAGCAAAAAGTGATATATGAAAATGAAGAAAAAGTTACAGTATTCATCTCCTTCTTTAAAGTATATTTACAAGAAAAATGTGCATCAAAGAGCAACTGATCAGAACACACTGATTTAATGATGCCAGTAACCAGGGTAAAGGAAGGGACTAGAGTGCTCCACTTGGCCAAAGATCTTACAGTCATACCATAGGTGGAACATTAAGAAGTACATATAGTTATATCAGTTCAAAACAACAAAAGAGGGAAAAATCATGAGGACATGAGGAGAAAAGATTTGCTTCACAGGAAGAAGAGATGGAGGTGAGGTGATGAGAATGGATAGTAATTAGATGAGAAAATAAAAGCAAATCTACTTTATCTATTCCGTTTTTTTAAAGTCTTTTCCCAAGTCACTACCAATCTTCCAGGGTATGTGGGTGTTCCAATAGTTATGTTTATTTATTTTTATTTTTTTTTATTTTTCCAAACTCTCTCCCATACATATACCGTGATATTTATCAGATGTTAACATACATTCTTTTTACATTCTTATATATAAGATACTTTTAATAAAATGAAATAAATACATACACATGACTTCTGGTGTTGCTCACCCATTTCCCCTTTCACTGTATCCACACTCCTTCTTATCTACCTTCTTTCTCCTTTTCTTCCCTACTTCCCTCTTCTTCCTCTCCTCTCCTCTTTCCTTCACCACTCTCCTCCCCTTTCTCCCCACTTCTCCTCTTCTCCTCCAACCTTCCTACTTCCTTCCCCCCTCCTTTACTCTTTTCTCTCTCCTCTCCTTTCTTCCCTCTCATCCCTCTTCAGATACAATTCAGGGGTAATGTCCGAGCAACTCCTCTCTCCAAATTTCCCTATCTGTATTATATACAGTAAGATTAATTTTCTCTTACATTAATACTTCTATTTATCTAACCTTCTCGGTATATACTTCTATAAATATTTATACAACCTCCAGTTATTCAATACTGTGTCGCCTGGGTCTCCCTCCTTATCTGCTCCTTCTTCTTCCACCTAAATTGATGTTAACTGTCTTTTAACCGTATTCTCTTTTCAGCCAATCATAAAAAGTTCCCCAGATTTCATAGTACTCTGACTCTGTCTTATCTTTAATCGTCATTGTTAGTCTATTCATTTCTGCACATTCCAGTATTTTCCCAATCACCTCTCCCTCTGGGGGGGCTTTCAGTGCTTTCCAATTTTGTGCAAACACAATCCTGGCTGCTGTAATTATATGAATAATTAAATATGTTTTCTCTTTACTGTATTTCCCTGGTAGAATACCCAACAGGAATATTTCTGGTCTTAGTTCTATACGTTCAACATAGTAGAAAAGATAGGTACAAGATTAATATAAGGTTATTCAAAATCGAAGATGTGTGCAGGTGGTGTATACCATCTTCCTTGGACCATAGACTACTGTAAAGGTTGTAAAGTATCTGGACAGGAATTTGTAAAATCGTAATCTTTCTGGAGACATGTGCCATCTGTAAAACATTTTGTACATATTTTCTTTATATGCTGTCACCATTGTCAATTTATAGTTTCTTTCCCATAGTTGCTGCCATCTATCTAATTCAATTGTGTATCCAAAATTCCTTGTCCATTTTATCATTGTCTCTTTCACTTGTTCCTCCTCCAACTCCATATGTAGTAGATAACTTTACATTTTTAATCCATTTTTCTTCCGTTCCTGTGAGTATTTCATCTAACTCTGTTGTCCCCAAATTAACACCATCTATTTTAACATCTTTTTCATATCTAAATTGTATTTGCGTTCTCATGTACCAATCCATCTTTATTCCTTGTTCCTCTAATTGTTGTTTGGTTTTCAACTCCCCCATATCTGTTAGTAAGTCTTTATATCTTATAATGTTTCCCATGTTAAGCATTAGCGCCTCCATAGTTGAGAGCCAATTTGCATACTCGCTTACCTACTTACTGTTGCAGCCAGGCCTCCCATAAATCAATACTTGGCTCGCCTCGCTGGCCCACCTCTTCTGCAGTGCCCCCCAGCCTGTATTTCGCCATCAGAGACCTTCTGGAAAGGCCTCTGATGGCGAAATGCAGGCCAGGGTGTGCTATGTGCGTCAATCCGGAGCTCCATTCTCAGCTGCAGAGGCATTTCCTTTGGCCGCAGAAGTGGGCCGGCTGGGTGGGGTTGTCACGAGGTGAGACCATGAAAAAGACATCCCCCCAAAAAATAAGATGTTGGCTATTGATAAAACTTTTCAGGGATACTAAGAAAAGTGAATGACTGTCCATGAACAAAAGCTTGCCCCTTATAGGTATTATAAAATTGTTCTCGTACAACCATAGAATTTGTATGCGTGGGGGTGTCAGGGTGAAGTCAAATGCACATATTATAGATAGATCTCAACTTATGACCACAACTGAGCCCAAAAATTATGCTGCTGAGAAATTTGTTTAGTGAATTTTGCCCCATTTTATGACTTTTCTTGCCACATTTGTTAAGTGAATCACTGCAGTTGTTAAATTAATAACATGGTTGTTAAATGAACCTGGTTTCCCCATTGACTTTGCTTGTCAGAAGGTTGCAAAAGGTGATCACATGACTCCAGGACACTGCAATCATCATAAATGTGAGTCAGTTGTCAAGTATCCAAATATAAATTATGTGATCATGTGGATGCTGCAAAGGTCATAAATGTGAAAAATGGTGATAAGTCACCTTTTTCAGTTCCGTTGGAACTTTGAACAATTATCCGTGTGAACTGTTGTAAGTCGAGGACTATCTACATAATGAAACAAAGTTATAATTCAAAATCTGACCCAAAATCAATCCAGGTCGAGTACCAGGAAAATGCATAGATCTGTTTTCCTCAGTGATTTATATCTATATTTGTAAAATAAACCTTCCAATATTTCTGCAGTCCAACAGAATCCTGAAGAAGAATTAGAATGCAGAGAGGACATGCTTATTTAAAAACCAATTATCCCTCACCCCTCCTGATGACAGCAATCAAGTAAGCCACTTGATGGGCTCCATCCCACTCTGGAGCCTGCAGACCCATTAGTGAAACTAGGTTTTTAGGACCTTGCAAAAGTGTTTTGAAGTGGGGGCCAATCTTATCTCCATGGTGATAATGTTCCATGGTGGGAGACACCATGGAGAGGTATGGCCATTTCCATTCTATATCCAGGCCTGAATCCTAAATGGAAACAGTCTAGATAATGCATTTCATCCAGGAACCTCTGGAACTGCCACACAACTACATTCTCAACCACCTTCCCCAGAAAGAGAAGTTTGGAAACAGGTCGAAAATTATCCAATATGGTGGAGTCTAGTGATTGGTTTTTAAGAACAGGGCAGACCCCAGTCTCTTAAAATAGTGGTGCACCAACATTTCCCACAGGGAAGCATTAATCATCTCTAGAATCCATCTCCATGTTACTCCCTGGAAGCTTTTGCGAGCCAAGAGGGGCATAGACCTAAAACATAGGTGCTTGTGCTCATATTCTTTAGAATTTGTTTACTTCCTCAGGAGCAACAGAGTCAAACTATTCCCAGATAGCTGTACAAAACCCCACCCTGGGTACCTGCACCAGACCAGCAACCATACTGGCATCTAACTGGGAGTGAATCTCAGCAATTTTGTCTTCCAGAAAAATCAGCGAATTCCTCAGCATTTCCTCTCAGGTAGACTTCTGTATCCTCCTTTCTTAGGAGATGGTTCACCTTAAAGAGGGCTGTGGGCCAATTATATGCAGATGCAATTAGTGTGAAGAAGTATTTCCGAATTGCCATGACGTAAGCTTTAATAGCAGCTTTTATCAATATTTGATTGAGTTTATCCCGTCTTTTGCCAGTAGCGCTCTAGACATCTCTTCATCCGTTTCATCCCTCTCAATATCTTTGTATATCATGAAAGGTGAAGAAATCTACAGATTAGGAGGTTGCATGGGAGCTATCCTATTCCGACCCTCAGAAACCTTCCTATTCCAAGCGATGACAAGGAGCTTGGGAGGAATACGCAGCAGATCTGCAGTTATAACCCCCACTTCCTTCTGAAATCCATTTGGGTTTATTAGTTGCCAGGGACAGATCAAGGTCCTGCCTCTCTGGAGGGGTGTAGAGATAGAGGTACAGAGAGAGAGAGAGAGAGGGAGGGAGGGAGGGAGAGAGGGGAAAGGAAGGAAGGAAGGAAGGAAGGAAGGAAGGAAGGAAGGAAGGAAGGAAGGAAGGAAGGCCGGGCTCGCCAGTGCTGCTGGGCAGATGCGCAGCCAGGCCTGCCCAGGTGATGCTGAAGCCAGCCAGCCCTTCTGCGGGAGCACAGGGGGGAGAGCGACTACCCCCAAGCACCATGCCTTCCTCCCTTCGGGCTCCCTTGGCCTCTCCCCCCTCCTGGTTGGGCTG